TTTTTTTTTTTTTTTTTTTTGATCTTTCGAGTTCCTTTTGCACGGAAAAGATCAACTATTCTGAGGTCAAAGATAACTCTCATGGTAGATGATTTTTTGGTTTTGAATCAGAAAGAGGAAAAATTCAGAGCCAATTGTTAATTACATGAATAATTTGGACACAAATAACAAAATCTAAAATGTATAAGAAAAAGAAGCTGATGGCCAAAAAAACAATACGTGCATACCATGAGCCTGTTTAAATATCAGGAAGATCGGGCTCAATGGAAATTTCTGTTGAATGCTTTTAATCCACGCTTGTTCAATTCTAATGTTTCGAAGAAGGGCCCATTAGATGCATGCGCAGGCTGTTTATCGCCGATTGACCCCGTATCATGCGCCCGTGCACCATCGTTGATGTGCGAAACAATCGGCGTATCTTTAAATTACCAAAGCCAGTGACAATAGACTTTATCATCCTGTAAGCAGCTCCGTGAACGCCAGTTTCTTCCCCCTACTATACATAATGTCTGGTGCTGGAAACAGGGAGCAAGTCTTCCCAACGCGGATGACGTTAGGATTAATGAAGCTGAAGTTAAAAGGTGCTCAACAGGGTCATTCGCTCTTGAAGAGAAAATCCGAGGCATTGACAAAGAGATTTAGAGACATCACACAGCGAATTGATGACGCGAAGCGCAAAATGGGCCGTGTTATGCAAACTGCTGCATTTTCTTTGGCTGAGGTTCAATATGCGACTGGTGATAACATTTCGTATCAGGTGATTGAGAGTGTTCAAAAGGCTAGATTTCAGGTTCAGGCTAAGCAGGAAAACGTTTCCGGTGTGTATTTACCTGCTTTTGAAAGCCACGTGAATGAGGATATCAATGATTTTAAGATGACTGGTTTGGGCAGAGGTGGTCAGCAGGTACAGAAGGCAAAAATGGTGTATACGAAAGCAGTGGAGACATTGGTTGAGCTTGCTTCGTTGCAAACTGCTTTCATTATTTTGGACGAGGTTATCAAGGTGACAAACAGAAGAGTCAATGCCATTGAGCACGTTATCATCCCTCGAACGGAGAACACCATCAGTTACATCAACTCCGAGTTGGACGAATTGGACAGAGAGGAGTTCTATCGGTTGAAGAAGGTGCAAGAAAAGAAACAGGAAGCTGTGGCTGCAGAAGAAGCCGAGGAATTGGAAAAGAAATTGAATGCCGAGGCAGAAGACGAAGATGCCAGCGACGATGGTGAAGCCAATGGTGTAGAGGAGGATAATGTCACTCCAGTTGCCGGGGAACCAGAGATTGTCGAGAATTCTGCCGAGAAAACCTCAGCTTCAGTTAGTGGCGGCAAAAAGAAAAAGAACAAGAAGAAGAAGAAGAAGGCTGCTACCACCCAGCCCAGCGAGGAGCAAATTCTCGAGGACGTTAACAAATTGGCTGTGGGCGATGGTGATGTGTTGCAGGATAACGAAGAGGATGTCATTTTCTGAGCAAATATCCACACCCTTTCATTTGTTCGCATGGTATCATTTAATTCTCCATTCTCCTTCTCTTAGAAATATTTAGACTGCGTATATGTCTCTGGGACACCCCATATCAAAGACTTTATCTCAAGACACGCGTCACTACTTTTTAAAGTAACTGAGTAACAGGGGTACTTCATACTTTCGCTGGAACAAATGATAAAGAGAATAACTAATTTCGAAATCAATCCATCTTTAATTCTAGAATCAATAAACCAATTGATGAAGATAGATATTAGGTTAGATTAGACTTATGATTACGTTCATCTTTCTAGCGAGAAACAAAAGCAAACACCTTTTTCCAGAACAAAACTTCAATGAGGTGACTAACTCATTAAATATATAAAGGTCGAATGTTCAATCCGAAGAGTGATTATTAGAGTAAATTGTTTGTCACACCACAGAAAAGTGTGTTACTGTGTTGAAGAATTCAGTGGAGAAAACCTGGAGCCTTTAAGTCGAATACCACATGCTTTATCTAATTGACTATACATTTGTTCATACCACCCTTTTCACAGGCGCTTATAAAGTGTTGGAATTTTTTTGTTTTCATGCTTTCGGAAGCCGCTGGCAGGTACAGGGAGCTTGAATTTGCATACACCACATGGAGTTTAAAACTATGAAGAAACAAGAAAAAGTAAGAGATTATGTTAATGCTTGAATCAAAAGCTAAGTCACATCAGAATTATTCTCAGAGTTAGTGGAGCTCGGGAAATCTCTGCCATAAAAAACCAGCCGCTCGAATGGTCTGAAAGCTTGACTAAATTCAACTTATCAACTATAGAAATCGCAGTTCCTACAGTAGAATTGTGTACTAATTTTATACTGTTAAGAGAAACAAAACATTAAAGTACTTGAAAACCTCAAAATACGCAGCACGCGTCCTGTTTCCTTCTAATGACGGTCAAAACAGTCCCACTTGACACATATTAGTTTGCAGTACTTGTAAATTGATTAGCAGCAATGATCCATTTCACATGATTATATAACATTTGTTTTTGGTAGCAGCGTCTGACCGAAGAAAAAAAAAACTACACAATAAATTATGAAGAATCTTCAAAAGCTTCAGGTACGTATCTAGTGTCTAAACTCGACTCGTTCCCTTCCGTTATTCACGGCCTGGACAGTCCTCTTAGCACGAATTTGTTTACGGATTAAATAGTATGACATGAATTATTAGTATAAGTCTCCTGCAGTAGTCGGTTTGACTGAGATGGTTGGAGAAGACTAAAGGGGCTTGCTTTCTCCGACTCACTACGTCTTCGACTATATACCTTGAAATGTGTGGTGACGAACCAATCTAATTTTGTTTAGTTCTCCAAAGAGTTGTCAGCCGCAGCCAATATTTTTTTTTTTGGTAGATTCATGGGCTTGGAAAATTTTAGCTCTTGCGACCAGTATTTGGATGTTTCGCAGTTGTTGTAGATATGGCTTAGGAAAGCGTCGGTGGCGTCTCCGTTGTTGTGGATTTGAGGTAGGGCCCAGCGGAGGACATATAATCTGTAATTGAAGTGATCAAGGGAAGACGAATTTCACCACTTTGACTACTCTGTTTGGTAAATGCTTTTCAAAAAATTATCCTCTTATTAACACAGGGAGCGCTACACTAATTCATGAATTAAAAAAGACCTTTCAAAAATACACGAAGCGGGCGTGTGGTCTAGTGGTATGATTCTCGCTTTGGGTGAGCTGATCTCTCAGATTAGTGAGCAAATTTGTGAGAGGCCCTGGGTTCAATTCCCAGTATGCCCCCTTCTCTTTTTGCAAGGTTTGACCAATTTGTGTTTTTGTCTCCGCTGTCAGAAATCACGACTTGTCTGATTAATTTTAAACAGAATTTTGGACACAAAAGATTTTGTTGCCACCCGTTGTATAGTTTGCTACGCTCCATCCTTATACACGTGACACGGAGTTAGACCGTTCGTCCGACAAGGTGGCGGGTTTGTCTCTCGATGCCTTCCCCACAGATCGCGGGATGGTCTACACACAGGTCAGTGCTTACTGTCCGTAAAACGGAGGCGAAAAAAACCTCACAACTTCAGGAGGCAAGCCAGCTCAACACCGCCTTCACTACCAAACCGGTCACTTAATGTCTTATAGAAATAATGATTTCCCAAATAGCTATGTAAACAGGCTTATATTTAGACATATGAGCCATGTGAGATGTTATGGAGTTTTTCTTTCACATTTTTTGTATGGTCACAGAAATGCCTTGGATTTTGTATGGGTTTTCGCAGCCGCTCGACCCGGGGCAAGTCGGCTAGATTTTTCTCGCAGCGGAAGGCGGCCAGCAAATAGGAACGCGCGAAATTTGCTATTATTCACCTTGGACCCCATACATAATGGGTCGCGCCACCACAGGTATATTTGTTCGCGTGCAAGGCGAATTTTTTTCTCCACCAATCCTTTACATTTCTTCTAGTTGTTTCTTCACTTGAGAGCAAGACTATTTTGAAAGGAAGTTTTGTATACATCGGCCATGTTGCGGACCTTTAGAAATTTTTCCACGTCGAGCGTCGCTAGACAGGTGATCGGCTCAGCCAAGGGCGAGACCGTGAACTCCACCAAGTACTTGGGCCAAAAATACCACGTCATTGACCACGAGTATGACTGTCTCGTTGTCGGTGCCGGAGGTGCTGGTCTCAGAGCTGCTTTTGGCTTGGCCGAGGCTGGCTTCAAGACTGCCTGTATCTCTAAATTGTTCCCCACCAGATCTCACACTGTGGCTGCTCAAGGTGGTATCAACGCTGCCCTTGGTAACATGCACAAGGATGACTGGCATTGGCACATGTACGATACCGTGAAGGGCTCGGACTGGTTGGGTGACCAGGATGCTATCCACTACATGACGAAGGAGGCCCCTCAATCGATTTACGAGTTGGAGAAGTACGGTATGCCTTTCAGTAGAAACGACGAGGGCAGAATCTACCAAAGAGCCTTCGGTGGCCAGTCGAAGGAATACGGTAAGGGTGGTCAAGCCTACAGAACCTGTGCTGTTGCCGACAGAACCGGTCACGCTTTGTTGCACTCCTTGTACGGACAGTCCTTGAGACACGACACCCACTTCTTTATCGAGTTCTTTGCGATGGACTTGATGATGCAAGACGGAGAGTGTGTTGGTGTCGTGGCGTACAACCAAGAAGACGGTACTTTGCACAGATTCAGAGCCCACAAGACGGTTCTTGCCACTGGTGGATACGGAAGGGCCTACTTCTCTTGTACTTCTGCCCACACATGTACTGGTGATGGTTACGCCATGGTGTCCAGAGCTGGATTGCCTTTGGAGGACTTGGAGTTCGTGCAATTCCACCCTTCGGGTATTTATGGCTCCGGTTGTTTGATTACTGAGGGTGCTAGAGGTGAAGGTGGTTACTTGCTCAACTCTGAGGGTGAGCGTTTCATGGAGCGTTATGCTCCTTCTGCCAAGGACTTGGCCTCCAGAGATGTTGTCTCCAGAGCCATCACCATGGAGATCAACGAAGGAAGAGGTGTGGGTCCATTGAAGGACCACATGCACTTGCAATTGTCCCACATCCCAGCTTCTGTCTTGAAGGAGAGATTGCCTGGTATTTCTGAGACTGCTCAAATTTTTGCTGGTGTCGATGTCACCAAGGAGCCAATTCCAATCTTGCCAACTGTCCACTACAATATGGGTGGTGTCCCAACCAAGTGGAACGGTGAGGTCGTCAAGAAAAACGAGAAGGGCGAGGACGAGGTTGTTCCTGGCTTGTTGGCATGTGGTGAAGTCGCTTGTGCTTCTGTCCACGGTGCTAACAGATTGGGTGCCAACTCCTTGTTGGATTTGGTTGTGTTCGGTAGAGCTGTGTCCCACACCATCAGAGACTCTTTGACCCCAGGCACCCCATTGAAGCCTGTTTCTAAGGATCTTGGCTTGGAGTCGATTGCTAACCTTGACAAGGCCAGAACTGCCAACGGTTCTAAGACCACTGCTGAAATTAGAGCTGAGATGCAGGCTACTATGCAAAAGGGTTGTGCTGTTTTCAGAAGACAAGACACCTTGGACGAGTGTGTTGAACACATCAGCAAGGTCGACAAGAGTTACGCTGACGTTAAGACGACCGACAGATCCATGATCTGGAACTCTGACTTGGTTGAGACTTTGGAGTTGCAAAACTTGTTGACTTGTGCCACTCAAACTGCTGCATCTGCTGCTGCTAGAAAGGAGTCCAGAGGTGCTCATGCTAGAGATGACTTCCAGGATAGAGACGATGTTAACTGGATGAAGCACACTTTGTCCTACCAAAAGGAATCTGGTACCCCAGTTTCCTTGGACTACAGAGATGTCATCTCCACGACTTTGGACGTGAACGACTGTAAGCCAGTCCCACCAGCCAAGCGTGTTTACTAAGCGTCTATGTGCTTCTTTATCACGAAATGATGTTTCAATTTGAGGCTAGATTCGATGCCTTACCCCTATTTTTGACGATGACGCGCGTATGCTTCATGCCGAGTGGACAACGAATAACAGAATAGGAAAAAAAAAATAGAATCATGAATTGCATGTATTTATTCGTAACGAACATCATAAGATATTAAAGAAAATCCAATAGATCATCGGCTGTCTTCATCGGCTTTGCCGACATCGATCCTTGGCTATTCGAGTTCGGGGTCAAAATATTAGTGGAGAACCCAGGGGGTAGTTTCGCCAGAGAAATGCCAGGAGATGACGTCATGGGTACCCATCCAGAACCCTGTGCAATCGTTTGAGTGTTTTGTGGCGTCATGATTGTCGAGTTGATTGTTGTCGATGGTGATTTAAAAGAGCTTTCAGCGGACGACCAGTCCAATGAGGTAGTTTGGTTTGGGGACAGATCCTGGCTAATGACACTTTGCACATGAGGCTTTACACCACTACTTGATTGATCCAGACTTAATCTCAAGTTGGAAACAAGATTCTTGGCTTGGTTGCTTGATGCCGTGCTTGTTGCACCAAACCTCAAGCCCTGATGCTGATTTGAAGGCGTCAAAGTCAACGGTTTGGCGCGAGGTTGGGCAGGTCTGTTCACATTTGGTGCTTCAGGGGTTGGACTCGGGGATGTTGGGCTGAGCACCGGGACCTTGATTGATGGCTCTTCAACTTTTTGGCGTACCAGAGCACTATTGATCAAAGTACTGAAGTTCTCCCTCGCTGGATCTCGGGATACGTCACTTAGTGTCTCCAATTTCTGCTGAACAATGACATCCTGAATCTTCTGGAGCAAGCCCAACATGTCCTTGAATTCACCCTTGCTGCAATCCAGACAAGCAAAAATTAACCTGAGACATTGACCCAAAACCTTATCCACTAAGACGTCCAAGTCAAGTACAATGTGCTGGCTGGTGGCAAGACGGACAAAGAATGCACTGACCGCGCTCACAATTCGTTTATCACGGCTCTTGAGGTTTTCTAGTACAGGAAGGAGTTGGTCAGACACAATGACTTTGTCGATGATCTTCTTGTCAATCAACATGTCAAAAGTCTTGATGGTTTGTATTTTGGTCGAAAGAATTGTGGTGGTCTTGAACACCTGGCAGATGAGTGGGAACAAGGTGTTTTTGATATAGGGAAAGTCGAACAATTCAGCAACCATGGAAAGATTACTCAAGTAAGTGTCTTGAAGTTTGATTTGATCGGCCTGCTGGTCGAGTTCGTTGCGAGACGCCGTGACACAAAGCGTTGCTGCTTCTTTCATCAATTCCGTGACTTGTTTTTGCAGAAGCTTTTTGAGGAATAAAGATGTATGGGAAATGACGGCAAGCCGAATATTCACTGAGATCAGAAATATTTTGAGGAAAGGACTTTCTGATTTTCGTGTTTTCGCGGTATTGAGAAGCTCAGTATAGACCCTATCCTGGAACGAAAGGTTCGAAAGCAGTCCTCCTATGGCTAACACAAGTGAAAGGGATTTGCTGATAAAAGCATCGGTCTCGTGGTCAAGCTTTTTCAGCTGCAAAAATGCCGTTTCAGACTTGATCGAGTCAATCAAGAGTGGGAGCAACTTGGAGTTTCGAAATGTGCTGGGTAATTGTGATAATAAGTCACTGTGATCAAGAAGTCCATCGAGAAATACGACTTTCTCACTGGCAGACTTTGTGGTAAACTCGTCAATAAACCACATCATTTTGATGAGGCTGCCATCAAAAAACTCGGAGTCTATGAATTGGTCAATGGAAAGCCGGTCGTTAGGATATCGTGCGAGAAGTTGAGTCATTATGACCCATAGAGACTCCGGCACTTCCTTGAACATGTACTTAAGCTCTGCTGGCCTATGATTGTAGAACTTCAGTTCGAACTTGCGAAACTCAGACTTGTAATCAGATAAGTTGTTCGTTTCAAAACAGTTGATCATAGTGTCGCCAGAATTGTATAAGTAGTAAATCAACATGCCAAGCGCCCACATGTCATTGGCAGTGCTAAGCCGTACTCCAGAAGAGCCCATAATTAGTTCGGGGGCCGTGAAATTGAGATTATGATTTGCGTACTCTACCGCAGACGAACTGTTCATGATGTAGTAGTTTTCTCTGTCCAGCGGTGTCATCTCGTTCAAATTCTGCAAGAATTTAAACCCAGCAAGTTTCCAGTCACCCTGGGTGTTGATGAATACAGCAGACGGCTGCAAGTTCATATGAATGATCGAGCAGTGGCTATGCAAGAACTGGAGCCCTTTACTCAATTCCAAGAGCCCCTTCTGGATGCTGAGCAGGTTTTCTTCAGCCAAATTGAGTGTTGTTAGATTTGCAGTCACCGCTTCGCTAGCGAATAAAAACTTCAGCTTGGTCTCTTCCAAAACTTCCAACACAGTGAGGATTTGTGGGTGTTTTAGTTTGGTAAGATTGGAGATTTCCGTACGAATCTGCTCGTAAAACTCCGCCACAATTTGCTTCGGATTCTGGCTGCTTGCATTTTGATTGCATAGGCGGTAAACCTGTGCTTCAAAACGGGGCTTCTCGAAAATAAAAACAGACACTATTTTCCCTGTCTGCTTATGTTTTGCAGGATAGATCGCCCAGAGTTCTGTGCTAAAGGACGCATTATCTGAGACATTATATGCGCCTCTTATTCCTGTCTTAAACACCGATTTGAACATGTCAAGATGAGGGGTACTGAAATGTCCTAGTGAATAGTCAAGTCGGACTTGTCTGCTGTTTTTGTTCTCTGACCTCTGGTTTGTATGGGTTCGATTGGCGAGTGGTTAGTTTTCTGCAGGACCCCAGAGTTGACGCAGTCAATAATCGAATTCTCCATGTTGGGCTGATACAGTGAAAACGGAAGAAAGTGCCTATTTTTGTCTTCATGACTTCGAAGTAATTTTGAAATTTTCTGAACTAGTGCGATCAATGGCTCCTTCCGCATACGGTAACTCTGAAATTTCGTTAAAGGCAAATGAATTAAAGACATCTTACTTCGGGTTTAATGCTGAGGTTTTGGTGACTTCGCATATGAATTGTCTTTCGTAGTCCTTGTTATCTGAAACAGAAAGCTGAATTCCAATTGCTTGGAGACTGTTTTGATTAAGAGGCTTCAGCACCTGACCAGCGTGCCCGTTACTTCGTAAAGCATGTAGGGGATAATCAACTGTGCTCCACACATCTTATAAACCCCAGAGAGTGATCGAGAGAAATGAAATCATGTTCCCGCGAGTTTCGAGAATAACCCTGGATAGAATATCAAAGAAAAGCCACATTCTTATTATCCAAAAACCAAATGCGTTCTTGAGTCGACGCATATTTCCCCAGAGGCCTCATACTTTCGTGCATGACACGGCAGGTTCTCCTCAAAGCTCTTCCTCGTCACTCTCAAATGGGTCCAATTCAGGGAAATCACCCACTTCTACTTTGTTAGGACGCACAAAACTGCCGTGTCCTGGCTTTGCCTGGAAAAATCTTTGATCGCCGATCAGACCGTCGTTTTTACCCGCGGGTTCGTCGAATTCTATGCCTATCCAAGGAGACTTGCCGTCATCCAAAACGCTGATTTTGCCAACAAACTTTACCTCGCCTCTACGTTCACCCTCAATGTTTATCACACGACAACGATCACCGACTTTGATGGCATGAATCCTCGTTTTTACGATGCACAGCCTGTTGTGCTTGCTCAAACAGAGGGTCATACCTTCCCAATTGCTGATCTTTCTTCCACTGGAGCACAGAGTCTTTGCGACGTGCATATTCTTCTTCCGAAAGCTGGAACCCGGGTTCGGACGTCTCATCAAAGAGCTGTGAGAGCTTGGAGTCTGGGTCTGTATCTTCAACGTGGATTCTGCTGTAGGGCACGATTGCAAATTGCTCGAGGAGCGTGTCCTCCTCATTGGCACAAGTCAAAATAGTGAACTTATTACTGTTAGAATCCGGGTAATATTGAAGCAGCTGGAAAGCAGCACTGATGCCCGTGGTTGGCTCGAGCCTTTTCTTGAGGTACGCTAGAGTCCACCCGGGCGAAATCTTGCGTTCTGCCGAAGTCAAGTCCGAGGTGAAAAACACAGGGTAGTCCATTGCAATTTATATGTTATTATAGAACAGAGCTGAGACCAGGCCCTAGCAAAGTGTGTTTTCAGATCGAAATAAAAACAACAAAAGTTGGGTGTTGGAACTGGTCACTGTTTCTCATCTCTCAGCGAGGCCACACCCGCACTGGCGTTGCCCCAGAGCCTCCACAGGGCCTGTCGCATCTAGGCAGAAACCAGCGCAAGAGGTCACGAAAAAAGGTGCCATAGGTCGAAGTTTTGAAACTTAATAACTTAAATTGATTCTGAGCAACAGAAGATCCTGAAAGCTGTGTAAAATTCTCCTTTAATCTGCAAATGTGCAGATTTACCTAGGGTGTTCATCAGATTCGGATTTTTGGCACCCACCGCTCCAGGGCCTACTCTGCAGAGGCCTACCGACAATGCGCGCTTGGCGCTACTGGTATGACTGCAGAGGAAAAAGAGCCCGGACAATCATATAACCCTCAACAGGATTTCAGCAGCAAAAACGCAACCAAGATGGAAAACGTATGTTTGTTTTCTCGTGAGCTTCTCAAAAGCTCGAGGGTCCCTTGGCCCCCATACTGTCACCGCTCATTATACTAACAACTCGCAGAAACCCCGTCACAACCACAAGAGGAACGACAAGAACTTCGACAGGAAAAACGATAGAAATGACAGAAGCGACAGGCGATCGGGCGGCAACAAACAAGAAAGGCCAAAGAGAGAAGCCATCGTGGACTTGCAGAAATATTACGGGCAGAAGGTGCTGGTGAGATTCATTGGTGGCCGTTCCGTCGTGGGCATCTTGAAAGGGTTTGACCAGTTGATGAATTTGGTGTTGGAGGAAGTCGTCGAGACTCTCCGGGACCCAGAAGATGACTCCGTGTTGACAGAACAGACGAGACTGTTGGGTAAAGTGGTGGTTAGAGGGCCTCAGTTGTTGACGCTTGCTCCTTTGGACGGCACGGAAATGATTGGCAATCCGTTTGCTGTTGCCCAGGAGTGATATCCGAGTGTATAATAATAAAGAAACAGTTGAAGATGGCTGTCTGAAACCAAAAGTTGGGGCATGTGAGCATTTCCCCGTCCGAACTGACAGAGGAAAGGTCCCATCTCCTTTGAACTTAGACTCAGAAGCTCAATTTCTACGATCCCTCACATCACTAGCCCTGGGAACCTTTGTCCAAGACAGGAACAAAGGGATACCGACCATGAGAATGGGTAAATACACTTCCGACCCGATAAACAGTCATAGATCTATGACTGTGGCCGGACTACACAAGAGCCTTGTGCAGGCCGATAATATGACACGCTTTAAAGCAGAGCATCTCGCAGAAATGGCGATACAACTCTCAATACATTGCGAGACCCTCTCGATGATGGGCGTTATTTCAGTTTGAAACAATGAAACTAATACTCAACTTCCGAGAAAGCGGAATTAGGTTTACCTTGTCGTTATGAATTTTTGCGTTCTTTGGAGCAGAAAATCATGATGCAAAATCCCAATTGATCTCTGAAAAGTGCATCTGAGCACGTAATTGTTTCCATCTAGATACTGGCAGATTGATCAGCACTTGTGGTCATATGAGCATCATGGGGTGTTGATGCGACTCGAATTTGCGGCAAAATGCTTGTCGCATTCTGTCTTTCATGAGTGTCAGGAATTCACCTCAATTTGTGGCATTAGATGGTATCATTGGGTGCGCAGTCAACCCAGGAAACGTGGGGTAAGAAGAAGTGTTCTGAAGGCATATGTCCGTTTTTCACCAAGCAGTGTATTTTGCTAGCTGGACTAGGCGCCGATAGTTAAATTCTCGAACCTCAAAAAAAAAAAAATCGGTCAATTATACGAGATAGTTGCACATAAAACGGTGAAAGAACAATCTCGACAGGGCAACGAACAAAACGGCTTGTCTCACGCGAATTCCGCTACACAGCAATCCCGTTCTGCACCCAGGACATCGCCAGACAAGCCTTCCGCATATGAGTGCCGAGAATTATCACGACTTCACCATCCCTAGTCTCTCCTATTGAAACCGTAAATATGGCCGGCGAGAACAAAAACGTAATCTTGTTGCCTCAAACAAACCAGCTCATTGGCTTGTACTCTATTATCAGAGACAAGTCAACAAAGAGAGGGGACTTTGTGTTTTACTCCGACAGAATCATTAGACTCTTGGTTGAGGAGGGCTTGAACCTGTTGCCCGTGGAGAATGCCACTGTTCAATGCCATGGAAACCAAACGTACAATGGTGCCCGGTTTTTGGGGAAAATCTGCGGAGTGTCCATTGTGCGTGCGGGTGAGTCTATGGAGCTGGGCTTGAGGGACTGTTGCAGATCCGTCAAGATCGGCAAGATTTTGATCCAAAGAGACGAGGAGACCGCGTTGCCCAAGTTGTTCTACGAAAAATTGCCCGAGGATATCAGCGAAAGATACGTCTTTTTGTTGGACCCAATGTTGGCGACCGGTGGTAGTGCCATGATGGCCGTGGAGGTCTTGCTTTCCAGGGGCGTGAAGGCTGACCGCATTCTTTTCCTTAACTTGTTGGCCGCTCCCGAAGGTATTCAGGCATTCCACGAGAAGTACCCTGACGTCAAAATCATCACTGGAGGCATTGACGAGAAGTTGGATGAGGACAAGTATATTGTTCCTGGCTTGGGCGATTTTGGAGACAGATACTACTGTATCTAGTTATCCATGGCTCCTAAATATGGTCCCACATTAGATTAATGGAAAGTTACATGCATTTACGATGAACAACATCGGGGTCCTCCTCGTATTGTTTTGCCGTGACCCACATCTTTCTGAAAGTCGAGAGGCCCGCCAAGATGGATCCACCAATCCATGTGCTATACTTTCTCTCTGGCGGAGCGTAGATCTTGATTTTCATGCGCGAGTCCTTGGCAGTGCCCACTCGGGAGCCCCATATGGTGTTCGTCAGTATGCTTTGTTGATTCTTGAGCTCCGAAATCAAGCGATCACCGAGGTTTTTGAGAAGCGTGGTACCCCCGGACAAGATTATATTCTGATAGAGCTCGGGTCGCAAATCAAGATCTGTTTTTGATATGGCGAGGGCCGTAAGCTCATGTATGCCCGGGGATTCGCTTCCAATGAGTTGCGGGTTGAAAAGGATCTCGGGGGCGCGGAACTGTTCGACGCCCAAGTTCAAGGAATGCCCATCGGGGAGCTTGTAGGAAGTGAAGAGATCGGAGCCCTCGTGGCTGATTCCACCCGCCACTCCCGGCGACAAGTAATGCGAGTAGGGGACGCCGTGGTACATCTTCTCATCGCGCTGCGGGTCCTTTGACACATAGCAACATTTTTCCTTGATGATCCGCGCTATGTCCAATTCGGAGCTCGATTGGAGCGAGACGCCAGACATTCGTCTGATGTTGAAGGCTAGATTTTCTGTGATGTCGCGGCCTGCGACGTCCATTCTTTTGATCGAGGACGGCAAGGAGAAGCCGTCGTAGACAGGAACGATGTGGGTCACGCCGTCGCCGCTATCCACGACCACGCCCGTTGTGCGACCAGAGGCGTAGAGTGAAAGCACGGCCTGGAGCGAGACATACACACAGGGCACGTTGAAGGTCTCGAATAGCACCTGACACATCTGGTCTCTGTTGGCACGCGGGTTCAACGGCGCCTCGGTTATGAGCAACGGGTGGTCTTCCGGGGCAGCTTTCAAGTGCCTGGAGTACGTGTAGTGCCAGACGCGCTCCATGTCGTCCCAGTTGGTCACCACGCCGTGCTCCAACGGGTACGAGAGACGGAGCAAGCCGCGGTGCTGCTGCGCAACGTCGCCTATGTATGTGTGGGTGTTGTTGTATTTGAGGGCGTTCTCCTCAATCGCAGACAACAGCGAGCCAGGCATGATTTTCTGGTACTTGGGGCGGCCTACGAAAGACGGCGCGAAGCTGCGGGGCTTTTCTTCGCCCGCAAACCCCGACTTGATGTTGCCCGAGCCGTTGTCGATGACAATCGGCTGATTGTAGAGCAGGCCTTCCTCCATGACCACTTTTGTTTGGCGGGAGACTACGGATGGGGCGTGTTGACTGGGCACTGCGCCATGCTGCTAGCAGCTGCGTGCGACCGGGTCCCACCCACATGAGACTGCAGGTGAGGTGGGGGCCGCCAAGAAGCAATGGCCGCAAAAAGCATGGGCGCCGCCGCCGGATGCAGGCGCCGGGCCAAAAGAAAAAGTGGGAAAGTCTTGGGCCCACCCGGGGGGCGTGCTCGTATTTATAGTTTTTTTTTCCTGGCCAAGGCAGCCAGCGTGTGAGTTTTTATACAGAGATTGCGGGTACCTTATTTTAAGGCCGGGGATTCAGCTGCGCGCTCTCCAACAGGTAGGTGCAAGAATGGACCGCCGCATGGCAAACCATAGTACAGTCCTCCGTTTCTGATCAACTGGCTTCACGGCTCAGGCGTACAAGCACCACTTTTTAAAAAGCACAAGCAGATTAAACCATCGAACATAGCAGGGTAAGCAAATCTTGCAAACCTTTTCAGGCACCACATCACATTCTTGTAGAATTACCCTTTCCGGTTTTCTGAACACATCGACAGGTCCGCAAATGGCGTCGCTACTTTCGCTCTCGAACGAGCAGAAATCGCAGGTGCGCAACGCGTTCACTTTGATCGACAGCGAGTCCAAAGACGGCAGTATTTCGATGTCGGATTTGGCCAACATCCACAAGACGTTGGGACTCGAGCTTCCTTCGACGGAGGTGTTGGAGTCCATGCTAGGCGGCAAGGAGCTGGTTTCGTTTGCGCAGTTCTCGCAGATCATTGCCGGGGAGTTGGCGAAAATCGACGACCGCACCACCATTTCCAATGCGCTCCGGGTGTTTGCGTCCGAGGACGCCAAGAGCAATTTACTTATAGATGTAGATGAGTTGAAAGAGGCGTGCTGCTCCGTGCAGCTCGGGGACATTGGGTCTGGAGACCACCGCCTCAGCAGGGCGTCTTTTGACAGTCTTGTGGCGGGCTTTGTGCGCGAGCAGATGGACGGGAAGAAGGTGTTCAATGCGCTGAACTGGATCAGCGCCTACATTGAATGAGCCTCTATTGGATGAGCCTATATTGGATGAGCCTAGTGTGGATGAGCCTAGTGTGGATGAGATGATATTGGATGAGCCTACATTGGATGAGATGATATTGGATGATTCTACATTAGATGAGATGATAATGGATGAGCCTACTTTGAATAAGCCTTGCAGGACTGCATTTGTTCGAGAAAGGCCTGCGGGAGTTTAGTGAGGATACACGAAGCAGATCTGCGGTGAGTACGTGGTAGGATACAGAGGATGACCGGTCTTTGAGTCATGCTCCTAGCACATGGTGGCATGTGAGTGTCATGAGACACGTCACGGTCGTGGTGCGTCATATGTCCAGATGAATGTCAGATAGGGTGAAAGCGTCAAGATTTGCCCATAGGCATATATTGAGACTAGGGTCAAAGAGGCGACATTCCCAGAGAAGCGATGACATGCGTGTGATTGGATCACTCATCTCGTGGAGTACATGCTACGATACTAGGATTCATCCATCACACATCTCATGAACAGCTTAATGATTGCTTCATGAGATGTTTTTTGTCCATCTCAAGAAGTGTCCCGGAACATGCAAAAAGTACGCTGGAAAAATATAGCCAGGTTCATATGATGCACCTCATACATTTGATGACATCCCATACCAACAGGCGGGCCAACACACTGCCAAAGTTATTGAAGTCTCGGACTGGTCCCAGGTCCCAGAAAGAGCCTGTCCTCCATGCTAAGCCCGTACCACAATAGATCAAACTGTCCGCCCAGACCTCTTTTATGAGTCTTGTGATTCATTTTAAGATATGTTTTACTATGCATCTAATAAGACATTTCGAGAGACATGCCGTTGTACGTCTTATCAGACATCTCGAAATGTATCTTATTTTACATCTAATATGACATCTTGCGACACATCTCGTTACACGTCTTATGAGACGTTTTATGGAAAGTCATATTACAAGCTAGATGATACAGCTGACCCACGAATATATACGTATACATATGATACAACTAATTAAGTTGAGATGCATCATGAGGGGCATCCTACCGCAAAGTTATGGCGTCTCTCACTATACATCCCATGTATCTTGGTAATCTCCCAGACGTATTACGGTAACTCTCATGAGTCTCAAGAGGCTCATGATCTGATGAGACATGACACTATACTTCCATGAATGTCATGATTTGTGGGTCTGATACAATTCCCATCTCATGAGCCTCATGAGCATATGATGTGGTGTATGAACCTTGTGAACATAATATATGATAAACCTGGTGGGCCTACTGGATAACGCATCTCATGAATCTCATGAACAGATTATACAATACCTCATGAACCGCATGGACATTTTGTACTTAGCCATACTTTCATGAACCGCAAGAACAGCATCCAATACACCCCACGAACATAAAATCATGAAAATCACGAACATCATGAACATTACAAATAATATATCTCATGAAATTCATGAACAATCATACAATAAATCTATGAACCACATGAACAGATCATACAACATATCTCACGAGAACACCACGAACATTACAAACGAGAATGAACATCATGAACATCACAAACACTACGAACACTACAAACACCACAAACACTACGAACACTACGAACATCACGAACATCACGAACATCATCAATATTACAAACGACACATCTCATGAAACAATCATAAATTACATCTATGAACCGCACAAACAGATCATACAACACACCTCATACAGATTTAAAACGATAAAGGCACCATGATAATCATACAACACACCTCATAGAAATTTGAAACGATAAACTCATGAACATCATGAACAATCATACAATACATCAATAAACCGCATCAACAGATCATACAACACACCTTATAAAAATTTGAAACGATAAACTCATGAACGTCATGAACCATCATACAATACATCCATGAACCGCATGAACAATCATACAATACATCCATGAACCGCATCAACAGATCATACAACACACCTCATAAAAATTTGAAACGATAAACTCATGAACGTCATGAACCATCATACAATACATCGATGAACCGCATGAACCATCATACAATACATCCATGAACCGCATGAACAATCATACAATACATCCATGAACCGCATCAACAGATCATACAACACACCTCATAAAAATTTGAAACGATAAACTCATGAACACCATGACCAGATCATACAATACATCGATGAGCCGCATGAGCCATCATACAATACATCAATGAAACACGATGAACCATCATACAATACATCCATGAACCGCATCAACAGATCATACAATACATCTATGAACCTCACGAACCTCGCAAACGGCACCCCGCACGAGCCTCAAACACACCCTACAGCATCGATGGACCGCATGATGGCACGTGTCCTCATGGTACATCCATCTCAGTGTACACCCTTGCACCCTCGGAGAAGCCACAGCACACGCCCCCGTCCAGGCCAGGAAACCCGGCGAGACATGCCCCGGCACACTCCCGTAGCAAGGCACACCCGCAACACGCCCCGGCGGCCCCCGCGAAACACATACATGCTATACACGCGCGGCCCCCGCCGGCCAGCGCCCGGCGGCCCTGCCTAGTGCTCGATGATCAACTCGTCACAGCCCCAGTCCTCGTAGGAGCCGTCCGGCAAGTAGCGCCTGAGCACCAACGGGATCTTGCGCTGGGCCAACTCCTTCATGGCGATCTGCAACGGGTCCGTCTCGCCCTCGATGTCGACCAAGACCGGCGCGTTCAACGAGATCTGCAACGCGCGCGTGCCGAGCACACGGGCCCGCTCGTACTTGGTCATGTACGGCGTGGTGGAGCGCTCGTCGCGCGCAATGGCCAACGCCTTGGCGGCACGCACACGCACCTGGGCGTCCGCCTCGCTGTAGCCGCCGTTGACGATGGTTCTGCCGTCCTCGGCCTTCATGGCCACGTCGGGCTCGCCGTGGGCCGCGGGCTCGGGCTCGGCAAAGTCGTCGTCGGAAAAGTGGTCGGGCGCGTCGAAGTCCTCGAAGTTCTCGGGCGCCTCGTTGTATGGTTCCTCGACGTCAGACATGGTGGGAGTTTTGGAGTAGTAGCGGTGTGGACAAAGAAACGGAGGCCCGGCCGATGAGTCGCGCGCGGTGCGTGCAGGCCGCGCCCAGGGCCGGCCCCAGGGCCGCCGCCAGAGCAGGCCCTGTATGGGGCCCAAAGTCGGGGCCAGCGCCAGACTCCATTGCCGGGGGCATCGTGGCGCGGCGGACGGCGGGCTACTTTTAGGCGGTCTTTTTTTTTTATATCTATTTTTTTTTGGGCGGACTTCTTTTTGGCGGCCTACTATTTGGCGGTCTACTATTTGGCGGTCTACTTTTGGCGGTCTACTATTTGGCGGTCTACTATTTGGCGGTCTACTTTTGGCGGTGCTCTGCTGGCGGTGCTGGTGCGGCAGTCCTGTCATCGCCATGCGCGGCCCTGGCAGTCCTGCCCTCAGCACCCGAAGCCGGCGGTCTACGAATCCAGGGAGTGGTTTCCCAAGCGGATTTCCCAAAGGCTCCCAGGATCCCAAAGGCTCCCAGGATCCCCATCGGGTTTCTCAGCGAGCTAGTGTTTATTATCTTGGCTCTCGGAGGGCCGGTCTATGTCGGCGCCAGGGCCCCGCAGCAAGGCACCAGGGGGCCCGAGCGGAGGCTTCTGGCATGCGTTGGAGGCAGCGTGCGCTGCGGGAAGGGGTTATGCGGGGGACGGGCCAATCACAACTCGTCGGCGTAGGGCAACACGTCGGTGTTGCCCACGGCCACGTAGTTGAACGCGCCCAACTTGGCGCCCTTGCCGCTGGCCGCGGACACGGCGTTGTCGTGCGGGAACTCGAACGACTCCTGCAACGCCACGGCCAACTGCGCGGCCTTGGTCGCCGCGGCCAAGTCGCTGGCCGAAAGCGCCGCGACCGTCTTCTTGGCGGCCTTGATGCCCTCGGCCACCGCGGCGCCGTCCGCGCCGCGCACGGACACCACGAACAAGCCCGCGTCCTGGTACTTGTACAAGCGCGAGTCCGCGCCGGCAATGGAGCGCAAGGGCGCGGCCGCGCCCGGCAACACGGAGGTGCCCGCCGCGGCGGCCAACACCTCGTACTTGGCAAAGTCCTTGGGGGCCACCGGCACGGCGAAGGCGGCGTACGACGCGCCGCGCGCGGTGAGCCGGGTCTCGGCGCCCGTGTACGTGGTGACGGGCGGCGCCGGGGAGGCGCCCGCAGGCAACGCGGCGAACGCGGAGCCCGCGACGAAGCCGGCCAAGTCCGCCTCGTTGACGCCCAGAGCCACGAGCCGCACGTTGCCGGCCGTGTAGGCCCCGGCGGCAAACTGCATGACCTCGTCCAAGGCCACGCTCTGCGCGTCCGAGTAGTACAAGGGCTGGCCCAAGCCCTTGCGGAAGGAGAGCTGGTGCAAGGCCTCGAGGCCCACGAAGCCGTTGTCGGCGTGCGCGGCCGCGGCCTCGGCGCGCGCCACGGGCAACACGGTCTCGACGAACTCGTGGGGGCGGAACGCGGGCTTGGCCAACACACTGGCAAGCGCGTCCACGTAGTAGGGCAAGTCCTGCTTCAAGAAGGTGGCGGACAAGACCAAGGCGTCCCTGGTCACGTGCGCCGCGAGGCGCCCGCCGAGCAACTCGGACTCGCGGGCGAGCCGCAACGCGGACTTGGTCTCGGTGTTGAGGAAGGCGTACTTGGCCAAGAGGTGGGCCACGCCGGCCTTGCCGGTCTTGGAGCCGGCGTTGCCGACGACCGCGGAGAGCGTGGACAACGCGCCGGCGGCGTCTCGCGACACCAACTTCACGGGGGCAGTGCTGTATGCACGGGCAGAGACACGGGACAACATGGGGTGATATGGGGGGACAAGAGGGGAGGAAGGGTCGCAGGAGAAGCGACTTGGCCTGGTGTTTTTTCGCGCGGTTGGCGTGCGAAAAGTGGTGCCGGTGATTGGCTGCGCGTCACGTGCGCGCCGCGCTGCTCGCTGGGGTGCCGCCGGCGGGGCCACTAGCGTGGGAGAATAGCGTGGGAGAATAGCGTGGGAGAATAGTGGGGGAGAATTAGTGAGGTGAGAATTATTGGTGATGGTGAGAATATTGATGAGGTGAGAATTAGTGTGGGAGAATTAGTGTGGGAGAATAGTGGGGGAGAATAGTGGGGGAGAATTAGTGAGGTGAGAATTATTGGTGATGGTGAGAATATTGATGAGGTGAGAATTAGTGTGGGAGAATTTTTGATGAGGTGAGAAGTAATGTGAATGGTGAGAATTATTGGTGATGGTGAGAATATTGGTGAGGTGAGAATTAGTGTGGGAGTAATTTTTTGATGAGGTGAGAAGTAATGTGAAT